ACACTATTTTTTCTTGTATATGGAAGACACGCCAAACTACCCATTCACCCAAATAAGTCAAATAATTTGCTCAATAAAACGATCATTCAATAGATGTATGAATTAGAAAATGATCTATCTCTAGCACGAGCCCAAGCCTTAGATCAAATTAAAGCCCGACAATAAAAGCTAAAGGACGATCATGATCAACAGCTTAAAGCCACCCCAGATTTTAACATTGGAGATAAGGTATATGTTTTAGATGCACGAAGAGTGGGCACACATAGCCATAAACTAATACTGAAATGGAAAGGGCCATATTACATTCACGATAAAATTGGGGACGGTACCTATAAACTTCACGATCTTGTGGGACGCATACTGGTACATACAATGAACAAGGTGTTGTTAAAAGCCTATCATGAAAGAAATATAAATAGGCAGCAAAATGATCTTTAATATAATACCATTCTAGAGGTGCAAATATCATTATATACAATTTTTTTGTTAAAAAAAAAAATATATATATATATATATATATAAATATATATATAAATTAATAATAATAATCGATAAATAAAAAAAAAATAGTTACTAATAACGAAGCTTTGATCTGAGAAGATTTGGTTGCTACTAAACCTTCATTTGTAATTCCAGCATCTTGTCCCTATGATGTTACTCAAGATATCTCTGTCCAATTGTACTTTGAATATGATGAGATGAAAAGAGCCAAGGCCAGAGGAAATAGAATTGAAATGTTAGTATATGCCTTCTACTTTGGCGCCAGACTACATACTGCAACTGCTGAAAGGACAGTAATATGAGAAAAATATAGTAATTACCTTATGACAGCGGATACCCATTTATAATATCTATTCAAGCCCTATAGGATCAAACAGCTTTATCGGACCACCCATACGAAGCTCTCTATGATTGTAATATTACCAAGGAAAGATATCATCATCTGGCCCAAATGGAGCTTGTGGAACAAGCCTTTCCTAGTGAGGGAGAGTTGTAACCATTGAATTTCTCTTCATGGTGTGCTACCATTCGACATAGCACAGTGCTCGATTTTTTTATTTTTTTTATTTTCATTATTTTCATTATTTATTTTATTTTCATTATTTTCATTATTTTTAAAATCGGAACAAAAGGATAAATAGTCACGAAAAGCAAAATAAAGTAAAAAAGAAAAATAGCGTTAATAAGAAAAATAAGTAACGATTTTTAGTCTAAAAAATTATTTATCCCTTAAACCATATATTTTAGCGTACAAATTTGTACGCTAAAATAGTTAAACCAAAATAGATCTCCCCTA